CCGCGCGGGGCTCCAATGGTGGGCCCTCGCGCGACGCTGGCCGCGACGCGCCGAACTGTCATGAGCCCCGGCCGTGACCGCAAGAGAGGCGGCTGCGCCGCTTCTCCGTCTCGCCGTCTCTGTCTCTTTCTCTCTCTGTCTGTTTGTCTGTCTGTCTGTCTCTCATTCTTTTTTTTTTTCTCTCTCTCTCTCTCTCTCTCTCTCTCTCTCTCTCTCTCTCTCTCTCTCTCTCTCTCTCTCTCCTCTCTCTCTCTCTCTCTCTCTCTCTCTCTCTCTCTCTCTCTCTCTCTCTCTCTCTCTCTCTCTCTCTCTCTCTCTCCTCTCTCTCCTCTCTCTCTCTCTCTCTCTCTCTCTCTCTCTCTCTCTCCTCGCTCTCTCTCTCTCTCTCTCTCTCCTCTCTCTCTCCTCTCTCTCTCTCTCTCTCTCTCTCTCTCTCTCTCTCTCTCTCTCTCTCTCTCTCTCTCTCTCTCTCTCTCTCTCTCTCTCTCTCTCTCTCTCTCTCTTTCGCGCGTGCAAGCCCAACTTGGTCATCGACGAGCGCCGCGTTGCAGGAGGCGCAACTCACTGGCCCAGTTCCCTATCCTATTCCACGAAACAACGAACGCCACTTCCACCGCGCTTAGCGTGTACAAGGATGGCGCCTGAGTGGCTGCTCATGGGACTCCACTCGCGGAGCTCCACTTGGTACTCCAAGTTTGGGTCATTGTTCGACGACCGCGAACTGTGACTTTCTACGCGCCTGGCCCATTTAAGAAAAAACTGCGCCGCTTGTTCGTTTCGTTTGTTGGCGTCGCGTTCATGGGCGGGCGCGATTGAGCGCGTTGGAATGCGCGCGCGTACACCGCGGGCGCAGGAAGCACGCGCCCAATTGCGGCATCGTTCAACCCGAATTTCGCCCGGGAGCAGCCGAACTCGCACCAAATTGCACCACGCTTGGAAATTATCAAGATCGCAAACGCGCGAGCACTGCGACCACGCGCGCCCTCGCGCAAACCAGCGTTGATCATCGACGAATGCCGTGCTGCAGGGGGCGCAGCTGAAAAATTTTGCCCATTCAGCCCTCCATTCCTCCCCCTCCCCCCCCCCCCGCCCAAGCAAGCCCCCAATCCATGGCAAACGCAACTTGGCGCCTGGGCGGCTGCTCCTGGGACTCCACTACCAGAGCTCCCAAAGGAGGCGCGAATCGCTGATTCTCGTGCGATGGCCGCGAGGAGTGGAATCGCGCCCGGGCCATTGTTTGATATTTTCTAACCAAAAAAAAACGCTGCGCCACTTCTCTCTTTTTTTGTGCGTGGTCTTCATGGTGGGAGGCGGCTGCGCGTCTTCTCTCTCTCTCTCTCTCTCTCTCTCTCTCTCTCTCTCTCTCTCTCTCTCTCTCTCTCTCTCTCTCACTCCTCTCTCTCTCTCTCTCTCTCTCTCTCTCTCTCTCTCTCTCTCTCTCTCTCTCTCTCTCTCTCTCTCTCTCTCTCTCTCTCTCTCTCTCTTTCTCTATTTTCATGGTGGGGGTTAAGGCGGATGCATTTCTTTTGATTGTGGCGGGGAGGCCGCCGGCGCCGCCACCGCCCGCCCCGCCCCGCCACCGCCGCGCCGCCCCGCCCGCCCGCCCAGCCACCACCACCACCGCCACCACCGCCAACACCCACCACGCCACGCACGCACGCGCACGCACGCACGCACGCACGCACGCACGCACGCACGCACGCACACGCGCGCACGCACGCACGCACACCAAAAACAGATCCGCCACGAACGCCACTTCCACCGCGCTTCGCGCGCACAAGGATGGCGCCTGGGCAGCGGCCCCTGGGGCCCCACAAGCGGAGTCCCACGCGGGGCTCCAGTGGTGGATCCTCGGCGGCCGCGACGCGCGGAACTGTCATGAGCCCCGGCCGTGGCCAAAAGAGAAGCGGCTGCGCCGCTTCTCCCTTTCTCTCGCTCTTTCTGTCTCTCTCTATCATTATTCTCTCTCTCTCTCTCTCTCTGTCTCCCTCACTCTCTCTCTCTCTCTCTCTCTCTCTCGCGTGCAAGCCCAACTTGATCAGCGACGAGCGCCGCGCTGCAGAGGGCGCAACTCACGAATCCAGCTCCCCATCCTATTCCACGGAACAACGAACGCCAAATTTCAATTCCACCTCTTCCTCACCACAGCCTTCCTTCCCAAGGACGTCCACAGCCTTCCCAAAACACGCTAAGTGCGGCGAACTAGGTTCCACGCTAAGTGTAAGACACTTAGCGTGTATAGACATTTTTCCCAATACGCGCTATACATAGATACCTGACCGTAGGGCGGCGGCTGCGGGGTGCTCGCGTGCGCCTGCGCTCGGAAGTGCTCGACTGCCTTCCTCACCAGCTGCTCGTCCGTGGGGTGCTCTGTGAACCTGTAGAACTTATCCCGCAGCAGGCGGGGAGGTGAACCGTCCAGCCCGAGCATGCAGATCCGATGCGGGCCTGGCTGGCTGCTGTCCAGCGCCTCCTCGTACTCGTCGCCGTCGGGAGTCATCACGCGCCAGTTCCAGCCCGGCAACGTCCCGAGCTCCTCGGCGCTGGACCCGATCAACAGCCGTTCGTGCCAGAGCGGGTTCCCCTCGTAGCTCACGGCCGCCAACTGGCCAAGCCTGAGCCCAGGCGGTGTGGCCTCGTCGGTGCCGACGCCGCCCGTCTCCGTCACCAGGCGAGCGCTCCTCGGAAGCAGCGCCGTCAGGTCCGCGCCCCTGCCGCCCGCCGCGCAGCTGCAGCAGCACGGACACGCCGCCCAGCGCCCAGCCCAACCACTGGTCTCCTGGGGCCTCGCACCCCGGGCACTCGCACACGCGCTCCGCCGGCAAGGCCTGCGAGCAGGCCTCCTGCGGCTCGGGCTCGCTGGGACTCCCGCCGCCAGGAGGGGGCCACGCCCCGCCGCCCCGCAAGGCCTCGAGCTCGCTGACCGTGTCCGCCACGATCTCGCGCACGCTCGGACCCGCAGGCGCCGGCAGCGTGGGCCGCTCGACCTCGGGGGCCAACCGCCGCACCTCAAGCAGGCTCGCCAGCAGCACAAGCACGGCCCACTGCCGGTGAGCCAGGCTCGTGCTGAGCATCAGGCGGCCAGCCCCACCGCTCCCAGGTTGATCTCGAGAGCCAAAGGCTATGTCAGGAGACAGGGGGAGCGACAGGACGTGATCAACAAACATTTCTGAGCACGCACTCCCAAAATCATTGATTACCCATGAGTTTTATACGGATTATGGCATTTGCTATTTGTTCACTCTTCCTGCATCCCGAAACAGCCCAAGTGCCTCCACATATCGCCCAAGTGGCCCAAGACGGCCCCAAGAGGCCGCCAAGACGGCCCAAGAGGCCTCCAAAACGCTCAAGATGGCCTCCAAGACGGCCCAAGAGCCCTCCAAAACGTCCTCCAAGAAGGCCCGAAATGGTCAAAATGGCCTACCGACGGCCAAGATGACCTTCAAGATGCCCACGTGCTCCCCGAAGGCTTTCAAAACCGATTCGGGGAACACGTGGTCCGATAGCTTGGGCAGGTCTGGCCTCAACGTTCGGCCACACAGGCGCTTCCAAAAAGGCAGGGGGCGGTGGTGATTCGCCGTAGGCGTCTTCGATCTCCGCCGCCCCCTGTTGATTTATCACAAGGGCGCCTGGCGTGCTAGACCCTATACGGCTTGGTCTCGTTATCCAAGAGAACTCCCCCCTGGGGCTTCGGCCCAGCGCGCTGGCCACCCGAAAGGCCCCGCCGCGCCACAAAAAAACGTCTCCAAGACGGCTCGTATGGCCTCCAAGATTGTCCATATGGTCTCCAAGTTTGCCCAAGGTGGCCAAGATGGGCGGCGGTGAGTCGCCGCAGGCGTCTTCGATATCCGCCGCCCCCCTCGTTACCTTGCCACCGGGGCGCACGGCGGGCCATAGCTGGCCGGATGCGCCGGCACGGGAGACGGGCCCTGGGCACGCGAGCTCCTCGGGTCGTCGCCCTGCCCGCTCCACGGCGGGCCCCGGGAGGGCCTCGCGGAGGGCCAGGGCCGTCTCCAGGACGGCCGCGATGGGCCCCAGAGGGCACATGGATGGGCCCCCAGGATGTCTCCAAGAGTCGAGGGGCCCAAGAACACACAGATGAATGCACAGAATTCCCAGCAGTCCCCATGTGTTCCAACATTTTCGGGGTCTTCGTCTTCCCCCCACACTTTCCACATTTTCCCATCTTGTCCTGAGAGTCGACGATTAATTGTGTCTGTGTGCTGTTTTCCCCTCTGAAAGATGGGCGGAGGTGCCCCACAAGCGGCCTACGATGGCCTCAAGGTGGCTCAAGACGGCTGGCCCACGCGGCCTCCAAGACGTTCAGAGAGGCCTCCACGAGAACCTCCAGGACGGCCCGAAGAGGCCAACATGATTTGTTTTCCTTGGCCATTTTGGCTGGCCGATCGCTTGGCCGAGTTCTTGCCGCAACGGTCGGCCACGTAGGCGCTCCCATGAAGCAGGGGGCGGCAGTGGTTCGCAGTGGGCGTTTCCGATCCGCGGCTCCCTGTGCCTTGCCACAGGGGTGCATGGCGTGCCAAGTGCTCGGTAGTTTCTGGTTCGGTTGAACAGTGACCAATAAGCATTCGGCCGATCCAGCCAGCCTTAGGTCGGGCGTGTCCTCCTACAGGCGGATTCTGGAAGAAACAATGAAAAATACCCCCAAATGCTAAACAATGCTAGAACAATCGTTCCCAGACTATTGTTTTGCTATTTTAAACTATTCCTCCTGTCGAGGACAAGCTTTGTGGATGCCATAACAATGGACACTCTAACACTCCCATCATTGAGTTAAATATGTGTTTAAAGTTGTAAAACATGTTCTAACAATGCTTCGAACATGTGTTCTTTATATCTAAAACATGTTTGAAACATGGTCTAGACATCTGGGAAGTATTTGACAGCATGCTTCCTCTCCATTAATCGACTTCCACAAGACAAGCCCAACTTAACGACAGCCGCCCGCAGAGCGGCGTACAGACCTCAGCGGCCCCCGAATAATCGCCCCAATATGGCCAAGGATGGCCTTCAAGACAGCCAAGATGGCCTCCAAGACGGGCAAGCTGTCTCAACGTGAGCGTTTTTTTTTATTCGGCGTTTCGACACTGGGAAGAAGAGGGTGGGAAAGGGGAGGCGGGAGGGCTCTGGACCTCTGCTCAGTGCGACTGTTTGCAGCCGTGCGCCCATCACGGGGGAGGCGCCACCTGCTCGAAGCAGGCGCCACAAACGGACAAGATCTACTCCAGGGGGGGGGGGGAAGGAGGGTCTTGGGGCCCGCGTCGATCAGTCCATCGCTCGGACGTCCATTCCCTGTGCTTGTTTCGCTTTCGTGCTTGGCTTTTTTGCAGGATGAGCCAGGATGCTCCTTCACATTCGCCGCCGAGAAAACGTGCACACGTCCAAGCGATACCAAGCGATCGGCAAAACAACGAGAAAAAAATCGATCTCCACGGCGGTCCAAGGGGCATCCGAGACGGACGGCGGCCTCCGTCTGGCCCCGAAGGCGGCCCCCCCCCCCCGGAGGCCGTCCCCCCTCTCCCGAGGCGGCCCAAGAGGACTTCCAGGGGGTCTTCCTGACGGCCCGAAGAGACCGAAACCATTGGCTCCCCAGTCAGCAAGCGACCACAGCCACATCGAAGACTCACCCTGGGGGATACATTGCACATGCCAACAAGTGTCGGAACACCGAAACCAGTTTCGTACTGGTTGTGGTCGATGTGGCGTCCCAGGACGGCCAAATCGACCACAACCACAACCACAACCAGAGTGCTTATGTCAAGGTCGGTGGGTTCTCCCCAGAGGGCTCCGCCCGAAAAATCAACTTAGTTGTGGTTGTGGTTCTTTGTTGCGCCCGGGTTGATTCCCCAATCAGAGCTTGCCTTCGTAGGGGTCCTCGCGGATTCATATGGCTAGGTGAGGTGCGTCGCCAATCTCGGTGGCCGGCTCTGGTATGATTGTTCCTTGGTGTCTGAAAGATTATGTCGCTTGCTGATTTTCGGTCTTTCGACGGCCCCACAGGTCCCCTCTGAATAGCCGAACATGCCTCCAAGATGGCCGGCCCCATGCGGGCTCAAGAAGCCCACAAGACGGCCCCAAGAAGCTCTCAAAGGCCCCCAGGAGGCATCCCCACGAAACCCAGAAGCATGCAGGACGGCTCTGAACCACAACCCAAACACTGCCCCTTTTGGCTTTCCCACAGTGAGCTTGGCGAACCGAACTTGGATGGGCTCTCTGGCCCTTCCAAAACAAACCACAAGGGAAGTACCTAGCGGAATGAATATGACCATGAATGCCCGATGAGAAAATGTGAGGACCACATGATGTGATGCAATGGGGGTTCTGACTATAGCGCAGCTGGGGTATCTAAGAAGGGAGGCCACTATCGGTATGTTTTCTCCACTGCGCTCGGGCTTAGTCAGGGCTTCGAGCCAGAATAAAGGAAAAAACAACCACGTAAGCATAAACTGTTGGCGCTCCGCGCGGATTTCTTGGATCCGCGCCGCCCCCTCCCTGGCGCGCGGGGAGCGCCAGGGGCGGCGCCGGAGACGCCGACAGGGGGGCCCAGTCGCGGATCCGAGGAATCCGCGCGGAGTTTTTTCCTCTTTTTCGAACCAGAAGCAACCTGGACCGTCGTCGCCCTAAGGGGCGAAGCGTTGCAAAGCAGATGCCGCCCAAGACTGCGCCACGCGAAAAGCCTGCAAAAAACACAAGGTCCTGCAGCGAACCTGGGCGAGAGGGGGCGAGCCACTGAGGAGGAGGTGGAGGAGGGGGAGGGGGAGCAGGAGGAGGGGGAGGGGGAGGATGAAATGGAGGAGGAGGAGGGAGGAGGAGGGAGGAGGAGGAGGAGGAGAGGAGGAGGAGGAGGAGGAGGAGGAGGAGGAGGAGGAGGAGGAGGATTTTTTTCACGCTCGACCTCTGCCTGGCCCCCAAAGAGTGGGGACCACCTCTCCTCACAACACAGTCCAGGGAGAGGGGAAAAGCTGTACATTCTTTTCCCTCTTGATCTTCTGTGGGTGTCGGCTCTGGCTGAAATGGTTCCAGGCCGTAAGACCAGCACCAGTTTTCTTTATGGTGCATTCGTCACCCAGCTTCTTGACACGGCCTCTAGTACTGTTAAAACCACGTCGTCGGCAGATGCAGAGGAAGGAGCCGTCTGAGCAGTCGACCGCCGCACACTGGTGGCCATTCTGCCTCAAAAGGCTCGGACAGAGTGTGGGGGGCACAAAACAACGGCCAGGAGCTGGGCGCGTATGACCTCTCTTCCCCCGTAGGCAGGAACCACACTGCCAGAATTAACCTGCCCAGGCCCACTCGTGAGGCGACTGTGACGCTTGAGGGGCCTTGGGAGGTTTGATGAATTGGACGCTGGAAAGATCAAGCCTCGGCCATCGAGGCAAGGTTTTGGCCGCCAACAAGATGACTGCCTTGGAAACACGGACCTCGCGCTCAACGCGAGACAGCACATCAAGGGAGGCCTGAGGGTGGACAGCACATCAGGGG